TTAATTATTATTTTTAATTTAAAAAAAAAAATCCTCCCCCCCCCCAACCTTTGAATAATAGTGTATAATATGCAGAGTACGCAATTTATTTTGTATGCATGGAATATAAGGGTGGAAATTAAGTCATAAAGATTAAGATATGTTCATTATTTTGTGTATAGTTATAAAACTATACACTAAACTCTGCTATATTGTGATTTGACCTAAACCATTTTCAATAAATCAAATGACATCGAAACAACCGAGCGTTCATCTGTTTTACATATCGCTTTTTAAATAGATTTGCTATGAGAAAATTGGAAATTTTAGGGGGAAAAAATGACTTCTTATTTGTAAAATTAACAAAAATCCTTTTTTGTAGAGATGCACCGATCGATCGGCCAGGGATCAGAATCGGATGATTTTCCTCATGATCGGCCCGGATCGGTGATCGGTCGGTCAGTCTCACTTCTTTCCGATTCCGAGCCGATCCGTTTTGTTACCAGCGGCACAGGCAATAACATCAGCCGCACATTCTCGCTCTCTTCTCTCCAACGACCCCTTCTCTCTCACACAGGTCTCATTCGCTCCGGTTAAATAGTGCTTGTATTGCGCATTATTTTAGTCATTCCCGCAGGTTTCACGCTTATACCAAACGCGCGTGCACCACAACTGATTTATATTAGTGGAGCGCACAAGCCGCATCTCGAACAGCTTGTGAGCCACATATACCAAATTGAGTGGCTAACTGCGCTAAAAACCGTTCAAATACATACAAAATTATGTCAAAATGCCTGTCTTGGCGAGTATCCAGTTAAACACAGTCAGTTTTGGAACGTTAAATAGTTGAGAAAGAGAACGCATGTTGTGTAACAGTATATTGGGTCCGTGGATAAACTCTTAAAGGGGTCATAGGATGCCCATTTTCCACAAGTTGATATGATTCTTTAGGGTCTTAATGAAAAGTCTGTAACATAGTTTGGTTAAAATGTCTCAATAGTAGTGTAAAAAACACATTTTTTACCCAGTCAAAAACAGCTCTTTTCAGATCAAGCCGTTTTTGTAGCATTTTCCTTTAAATGTTAATGAGCTCTGCTGACCCCGGCAAAAATCGGTATCGGCAGATCACACTAACAAAAAATCGGAATCGGCCAAGAAAAATGCACTCTCTACTTTTTAGTGAAAACAAAACGATGTGTAAAATGTTGCCATACCCCTAATGGAACACCACCAGATTGATCTTATGAATTTTACAAGTGACTATTTATTTTTTATTACAAACAAAATTGAGCTAAAAATGCAAAAATGACTAAATATGATGTAGCTGAATTAAATATGCTAAATGGTCACATGACCTCACTATGTTGCATACTACTGTTAAAAACATTAATTATTATTGCATAGAGTCTTAAACTGTAGGCAGTACACAGAACAGTAGGCAGTAAGCTGTATTCTAGCATTCGAATCAGAACAAAGCCCAGATTTAGCGCAAACAGGGTTACATTTTATACCTTCTTGCATTCATTGTCTTATACCTTCAGCGATGGCTCCCAGCACCAGGATGCCAGACTCTTTAACAACCCAGTCTGGGTGGAACAGCAGCTCCTTCAGCACTGGAAGCAAGGGGGGCAACAACTCATCCCGAAACACGTTTGCCAGCACATCAAGGGCAGCCGCCGAACACTTACCTGCAGAGGAAATTCACATGTCATACATGGGGTTAGATGTTTCACTCAGCACCAATGTAACTTTAGGCTTTGAAAGCTTTTTGTGGATCAGACAGTATGAATACTTGAACATCACTGACATTCATGACATTGAGTGTAATCATCTCCACAGAAAACACCAAGTATGTGAGCAAACCTTGATTCCTGCTCACAAAAACAGGTAATTTCACCAGCATCAGGTTGGTATCTTTTACAAGACACTTACGTAGATTCCAGTCGGACAAACTGTCGTCGTCATCGTCCTCATCCTCATCACTCTCCTCTCCTTCCTCACCTTCATTACCCTCGTGCCGAAGGGTGACGGTACGAGACTTGTGAAAGCGTGGCTTTATGTCCTGCTCGTTGTCCGGCACAGCCTCGTCTTCTTCCACGTCACCCTACACAGGAAGCAGAAGGTCGGTGTGATGAAACAACTGGCAATTTTGGACAGCAATGTCTGAGTCAAAGGCCTTGGGTCAGACAGTATGAATACTTGAAAATCATGGAGAAAATCAGGGATAATGTTATCATCACACCCGAGGCCAGGCTGGTGCAGAAGTTCTTGTGAAGTGAAGTAACTAACCTTCAACAAAATTATATCAATCTCAGAGTACTTCATGCCATTCACCAGAACAGGAACCAGTCTAAGAGAGATTAAAGACAGGAGGTCAAAACTGGACATCAGCATATTTGAAGGTATAGATGGATGTGATCCAATCACTGGGGGATTAAACAAATAATGAGAGTTTCTCTGACAATTAAGCAACACATTAAATAATTTCTAAGGTAACAGGCAGGAAGTTCAGTTGCTAAATACCGTGCAACAGAAGAAATGTGCCAATTGAGATTCTGCTGTAGCGTAGTTATGTTCATTTTAATGTTTAAAAATGTCTAAATGTTTAGAGGGGGAATTTTTTACATTTATATAATTAATCCAAACAATTACAATAAATTGTAAAATCAAAACAGGAAAAAGGCTATTTAGCTATTTAAATGTCTTATGTTTATATGATTTTTAAAGTGGAAAAAAGCTAACTTTAAATAATTACATTAAATAATTAAGTTAACAACAATAATGTGCCAAACAATTGAGATTCTGCTAGTCTTTTTTTAAAGTCTTAACATGTATAACATTCTAGCAAATGCAATTATTTAAAGAAATTCAGTAGAGCAAAATTACATAAATTAATAATAATTGATCAAATTCATTTACATATCAATTTCTTTCCAGAGAATGTGAAAAATTGTTTTAGAGGCAAATATTTAGTGGCAATTATAATTAAAATCGACAATATTTACTTAACACACACTGGACTTGCTAAGAGTAATTTATCATTGCATTTTACTCTAAAGGCAAGAAAAACTAAATTCACACTAAAGACGTTAGTCCCAGCTACGTTTTATGTATGCAATGTATGTAACGTAATGTATGCAGCATACCGCACTTCATTTTATAGTTTTAGATGTTCAATATGGAACTACAACTTTTGGAGGGCTATCAAATGCATGAAACTAACTTTTGCCCCAATAATTTGTCCCCGTCTTCTGCATATCATGTCACAGTTCAGAACGGTTGCAAGTGAAGGGTTTGAGACTGTGCATGTTTGTCAACTGAAGCAAACACACGTTTGGTGAGACTCTTATGACAAAAGAGAAAGGTCACTTACTGTGCAAGATGTCCAGACAGGACGTCCTTACAGATGGGCTGTTCAGCCAACGTAAGCCAGAACTCACAGGCCTCCAGAGCCACGTTCTCATCCGGGTCCTGTGAGCGCTGCAGCATGTACTGCACAAACCGTCAAGTCAATCATCAGCATCTCTGACTGCTCAAGATCTACATCACTTCTGGGTCATCAAGATCTCACCTCAACGATACTGCGCATGTGAGGGATGAGTCGGTCCACTCGCACCTCCAGCAGCATGACCAGAGCCCTGCACACGTTCTTGCGCACCTCAGAGTCCTCATCTGCGGCCAGCGCAAACAGACTCTGGATTAACAGGCCAGGAGGAAAACAGATTAAAACAATGCAATTACAGTATAGCCATATTCAGACAGTAATGGTCTCTCATTGGGAGCTGATTTCAACATTTACAGGGGCTAGTCAGTGATTTTTGCCATCTGAATCAGGAATGTTAGTGTTTAACACCCACCACCAGTGTAAAAAGTCCCAGCCAAAATACCCATTGTTTTTGGCACCAAAGTTGTGTGGTATTTAATCTGTGAGTATTTTAATTTCATATCTGTGAGTTTACAAGGGATCAGTCAGTTGTTGTACAATAACTGTTGCACTTTGTGGTAGTGTAAACATTTTAAATAGAGACACTTATAACTGAAATACTGGAAACTGCTAGCAAAAAATATCATCTCACTGCTTCACTACAGTTAGTAGGAGCTGTTTATTTAAAAAATATATAATTATAATTTATATATATATATTTTTTTAGGGCTGGTAAGCGATTACATTTAACCTAATTAATTACATGATGTGGCGATTAATGAATCTAATTAATCGAAAAATAATCGCACATTAAAGCTGGCTGAGAAATTACTCCCAAAAGATAATTTAAAGTCATTGATGTGTAAAGCATCAAACAGACATTACAAAAAGTAGCTTCAAGAAATATTTCGTTTGATAAAATTGATTACATATACTCTTTTGGACCATGAGGATGAGTAAATGATGACACAATTGTCACTTTTGGGTGGGCGAACTAAACCTTTAATAATTTATTTTAGTAATTGTATTATTATTACCATGGAAATATGAAATTATTTCTTTAATGAAATTATACTCTAAATA